ACCGATTGACTGTCGAGACTGTAAGTAATAGTGGTTATTGTCGACGGGACTATAGGGTCAATAGTATTGTTGTGTTGTTTGTTATCGAGTGCTGCACTCAATGACTGGTGTCTGACATGAGATGATCCGCCGATCGGTTCCCCGGACTGTGTGTTGCCTTCGATGGCATGTCTTCGCCTCATATGTATATCCAAACGGCTTTGAGTGTAAAAACATTTGTTACAGTCTTCGTAATTGCATTTCAATGCTATCGTTGACCGCAATTGTTGTACAAATCGGTCGACAATTAACTCATACGTCAGTGAAGAACTGGAAACACAACAAATCTGTTTTTAACCAATCATTGAATGTTTTAAGAGAGACCTGTCGTCCGAAGACATCGTTAAATATGAGGACAACTTGAGACAAACGACCAGAAAGTCAGTCAACGGAACATCACTTTTAAACACAATATTATATTAATTAAGCTTTATTATAAAATAATAAGTAAGATATTTTGATTTGATTTTAAATATCTATGAAAATATGTTTATTTTACTTTAAAATATTATAAAAAGATATTGGATAACAATATTTGTGTAAACATATTATGACTTTTGATTAGATATAATAGTAACTGAAGGGTAAAGTCAAACATGTTTTCATAGCCAAGAATATAAGTTTATGCTTATTATGAGATAGAAATTTAAAAAACCAACTATGTTCAGTTTTTTTTAAATAATGCTTTATTTGAAAAATAATATTTATATTTAATAAATTTGATTTATATTTAAAAGTTAGTTTATTTAATTCAAATAATTAATACAATGTGTAATTTGTATTAATCAATGTTTATATCACATTGATTAAATAGTTGTAGTAAATTTATAGCGTTTTATATTCAGGTGACTTTTAATGTGTTGATTGAGATTATGTTTTGTTGTAAGTTATAAATTATAATGATCTTATAAATTAACAAATGTTTAGATAATTGATTAAGGTTTGTTCACAATTTTATTTATGTTTGCAATTCAAATGTTGCCTCAATTCCGCTTTCGTAACAAACCGTTGATTACAGTTATTATGAATACATTTATGAAGTTTTATATTCAAATGTCTTTTCGTGTGTTCTTTGAGATGACTTTTTTGACTAAACCTTTTGTTACAATCATTGAAATGACAAACAAATGGTTTTTCTCCCGAATGTATGCGTTTATGTCGTATGAGATCTAAGTTTGTTGAAAATTTTTTACCACAATTTTCTTCATTACACTTAAATCTCTTTTCATTCAAATGAACACAACTTTTGTGATGAAATAAGTGATGTTTTGCTGCAAAACTTTTGTGACATTCGTTGAAATCGCAAATAAATCTCACCTTAACTATATTTAAATGAACATAATTTTTATGTTTGATTAACCCTTCTTTATATTTATAAATTTTATGGCACTTTTTGTAATCACAAACAAATCTTTTATTTAAATGAATTATATTTTTGTGTTTAATTAAATTTTTAATTTGTTTATAACTTTGATTACAATTATTAAAATCACATTTAAATCGTTTTATTTCTGAATGAATTAATTGATGTTTAGTTAACTGTTGTTTAACTTTTGTCTTGTATTGACATTTAGGCCAAAAACAGTGAAAATAATCATCAGATTTAGTAATGATATGACAATTGTTTAGCATTTTATCACTGATTTTACATGAATTGCAATCAATTGTTTGATTGATTGAAAAATAATCATTATTTTCGCATTCAATCGCTTCACACAAAACACTATTATTTGTATTCAAAATACACTGAATTTTGTCTATTATTTCACACAAACTCTTCATTGCATTGAATTTACTCTTCATTTCAATCAAC